ATCAGGTGCTTTCATTTGATGCTTGTTTGGTTTGCTGTGGTGTTTTCTCCTTCCATGGCTCTGAAGCAGGGAAATCCCTTTGCCCGGCAGTACATCTACAGCTCAGCAGCTTCGGCTGACCGAGTTATTGGGTCGGGGGATCTTCACTGCCTCGTTCCAGAGTCCATGGCCCAACATGATGTTTTTATGGCTCATCCGTTCCCGAGCTTCGGCCTCCACTTTGTGCTAGGCATCCTGGACCTGTTCCAACCTCAACCCAGGATCATGTTCTGACTGTGGGTGTCGTGAACCCTAGTGGACTTCGGCAGAAGGAAGACATTCTTTTGGGCCTTGGGCCTGGCATTTGGGCTGTGACGGAAACACAATTGTCACAGCAGACTTTTCGCACTAGCGCTGGGATTTTAAGTCTTGGAGCGCGACAGATGAATCGAGAGATCCGATTTCACGGAGGAGCACCAGCGCCTTTGCAGCTTGGTTCCAGTTGGGCTGGCAAATGGAGTGGAGTGGGATTGGAAGTGCCCTGGCCATCAGAGCATTGGGACAGTGGTCGGGTGCTCCTCACAAGGCGCACTGGGCTAATGACACACCCATTACCATTGGCACCTTTTATGGTTATGCCCAGGGGCCCAACAACTCAGTGACCAACTGCTTGAAACATGTACGACTGAGTTGGTCATGGGCATGAGTGGAGTTTGGCTATGCATGGGTGACTTCAAACAAGAAGCTGGCAAAGTTACTCAGCAGGTTGCGGCAGATTTACTTGGTCATGAGCCGGCTCCCACTTGTCAGGGGTATACAGCTCCTGATCAAATCTGGATGTCTTCCGAGGCCATCGAGTTGTTGCAACACCTTCGTATCACGGAAGATTTCATGGAGCACTCAACAGTCTGCATTGGCTTGAAGACCAGCACACCCACAGACAGCCACGACCAGCCAAGATTCCTTGGTCAGAAATTGACACCACTGACTAGGATCCACCCTGTCATACTCAGTATGAGGTTGGTCATGACTCCATTGCTTTTTTGCGGATTGGTTTGAGACGGCAGTCAACCACAAGATGCACCAGACCAAGGGCGCGTTCATGCCAAAAAGATGTCTTGGCAGATCCAAAAGGCTCCAGCCAGAGTACCAAACACAATCCTCTGTGACTTGCAAGCCTAGCAGAGAGGGGGAGGTCAAGATGGTTTGCTCTATGGCTGGTGTGGCCACGCAAGCATGGTTTAAGCAACTGAGAAGATTGCAAAGCTACAAGCATGCCATTCTTGCTGGCAAACAATCTCCGGCAGCCTTGGCTTACCGTGCAGAATGCTGGATAGCAATCCGCAATGCTAGTGGCTTGTGTCCAGATATTCCTACGTGGTGGGAGCAACAATGTCACTCTGTTGATGGAGTTCCACAATTTCTTCCATGGACTTCGCCCAATGAATCGGCCGTTGCTTTGGCCATCTATGAAAGCTTTCACACTCACTTCCGGGCTTTTGAACAAAGATCTACGAGCCTGCGTATGAAGTATGAGGGTTCGTTGGATTTTTTTTTCGGATCTTCGCAACGACCCCAAACCGGGCATAGAACATTTCTGGAAGGAACAGTGCTACACCATTTTGGCTGTAGACATGGAAAGTAAACAAGTACAGCTTGATCAACAGGTACAGTTTTTTGCATGATTCGGTTTGGATGCACCACTCACATATGGTTCAGATCACTGCCTATGACGGGGACTTGTGCACAGTTTCTGACCCCGACATTTTTGAGGCTGGAGATGAAATCATTCACCGTGCATACATCACAGACTCTGATGAAGTGCTGAAAACGTTAGAAGCTCACTGGCGCCCCAGATGGAGTACCACGGCGCAGGTTTCTGAATCAGATTGGCAGAAAATCACTCAGTTTGCCAAGGTCTACATGACCCAGCACAACTTCACCTGGCAACCAATAACCAGGACACAATGGCCCAACACAGTCAAACAGTTCAAGGCCAGGGCAGCAAGATGTCCTGATGGGTTTGATCGTTGTGATCTTCAGTTCATGCCCGACTCTTTTGTGGATTCCATTATTCACTTGGTCAACTCCATTGAGACGGAGGATGTTGCATGGCCTCAACAACTCATGTTTGGTACGGTGGTTGGATTGGCAAAGCATGACCAAGCACATGATGAAAGTCACTACAGAACAATCATGCTTTTTTCCACATTATACAGGGCATGGGCGAAGTTGCGCGCCAAGCAGCCGTTACGTCAACTGGCCATGTTTGTACCGATGCGAGATAGGGCAGGGAGCCAAACATTGGTTAGATGGATTCCTTCACACATGGACCCTTCACTGGCGGAGGTTTGAGGATTGGTTGATCCACTGGAAGGTTTGGTGGATCAACTTGTCACATCCACCAATGCAAACAGATCAGATGAGGTCTGGGCACAACGGCAGGCCTTGCGGAATGCCGTTTCATGTTGGACTATGCGGATGAGTCAGCTGCGGCAGTTTCTTTCTTGGTGGCTGATCA